AAATTATATTTATTTTTGAACAATCAAAATTTTCTAATTCATCAGTTCTAATGATCTGAAAATGTCGATGATGACTCTATCATTAAAAGTAAATGGTGAAATTGATCATGAAACTTCTGCAGAAAAGTGATGTGAACAAATTAAAATTCTAGGATAACTTGAAAGAAAAAATTAAATACACCATCATAATACACTAGCTCGATCGCATCATGGCCTAGTGTGTTGTACATGTGTACGTGTGTTTGTCTATGTATATATATATATATATATATATATATATGTGTGTGTGTGTGTGTGTGTATTTGAGTGTGTACGTGTGCTTTTTTATTATTAGCCGACGCCCAAGATTATCTGCTGGTTTGAATCTGAATGTTGTTGCTTGCATTCGTTCATTTAATTTATTTTGAGAATTTTATAGACATATTTTGTTTCTTTTACTCTGAATTTTTTGCATGAAAACGTGAATCAAATTTGTTCCATCTTTGCTGACACTTCATTTTTCCAGCTTGTCATCTTCCGCTCACTTTCGCAAGGAACAAGAATATGTGGCACTTTATCAAACTAACTCACTGGCGATGACGACGACGATGCAGTTGCAAATGCATGGAGCTACATTGTTCGACACACACGTGCACGTGTATGTGTACATGTTCATGCAGCCAGGTAGGTGGGTTGGGCACCCATTTGTGTAAGTGGTATAAGTACATGTGCTCATTCAGTCACGTTCACACGGACGCAGCACAACTCACGCAAGCACGCACAGGCACATCACATCTCGGAACGCACTCACATGCATAACACAAACGACCACACGCACAATTGCACACGCAGACTTTACAACCGTTAACACAACCGGATACATTCGAGCCACAACCAGACACGCACACGCACGCACGCACAAACACACAACTAAACAGAACCATCGTACTTAATAGCCCGCATAGAAAATGTACACACTGTGAATGCCAAATGAATTGGTCGGCTGCAAACAATATGACGCACACATTCACACAGCATATTTCAAAATCAGATAGATACAAAATAAGACACAAACACACACGCAGGTAGAAATAAACACACGCACTCTCATACAAACGACCAGATACAAACAAACACACACGTAGAAACACGAACTCCACCAAAAGAAGAACAACAGCAAAGACAATCACAGAAGTTACTCGCCTATCGCCTATGTACACGCACGCACGCACGCACGCACGCACATATCGATACATACAAACGTGTGTGTAAATGGATTTGTGTGATTGTGTCATACATGGGTCTGTGTTGTATATATATATATATATATATATATATATGTGTGTGTGTGTAATGATGATGATGATGTGATGATGATGA